GCATGACCCACCCCGTTTTTTGGGTCTTTCACCCCTCGCACTACCAGGCCTTCTCCTCTGCCATCCCCACACTGGCCCCCATATGGTCATATGCACCAAATAACCTACACTCTCGCTCCCAGCGTATACAAACCCTTACCTCGTCCCAAATGCGTCCGAAGACTAAGACGGGGTGGAAAGCCTCAACGTCATCTTGATCGTGAACGTACCATCCGGCAAGCCGGCATACGCCCCATCCGTCCATTTACCAGCCATAGTCAGGTGTACAGGTCCATACTGTTCAAATACATTCCGCAGATCAGTCTCGTCCGCCTCAAATGGCACATTTCGGACTTTCACCTATGTGTAATGCCTAGACACGTCGATGAGTCGAACACGTATCGCTGAATTAACGTCCACGCTCCTGTCCTGGTACTTGTCAACCAGCCGTTCATACACTCCAGCTGATCTCAACTTGACGAAAATACGATAGGCACCATTTAGCGCCACACCATACAGTTCTTGATCCGCAACACCATAGGTGTCACGGATAATTTGCGGTAAAAGTACTTGTGCAGACTGAGGCGTTATTGCACCACGCACCAATTCAAGGCACACCGTGTGCATACGTCTTCTCACAGACTGCGCCATGTTGTGAAAATGTAAGTCTCCTCCAATGGCCAGCAGAGGGCAGTAGTCACACGTCCGCACTCTGCTCAGGTCAAGCGGCGAATGATTCCTTGAATTAGGACATCAGCATCAAGGCAACTTCATCAAGGGTCATTAGTCATAGCAAGCTGCTACAGTCTTTCCCTTAATCTTGATGAGGATGAAGTTACTTTAACTGTGTTACACTAAGGTCGTAAGGGTCATACAGCGAGAATAAGACGTAACCAGAGATCAAGCAGTATTATTTCCGTTGCGGTCTTACCAGTACTTCCCCAGGATGCGACACACAACCAACACTTATCTAAGTAGACTTCTAATATGTCGTTTCAAAGACACTTCTTGCACGGAAAACCTTTCTCGCCCCTTAGCCCCTCAAGGAAGGTTCCTTGATGTTGGTGAGGGGCTCTTGATTTAGGGAATTGGATCTGTGCTTCAGTTCCCCGAATTAAGCCTGAATGCCTTCCACATCCCCCCAGGCGCTGTATAATCCTCCGGGTTTAGCGCTTCCCCCTTGATTATAATAATAATCTCGCCCCTTAGGGTCTCGCTCTATCTTTCCCGCCCTGTCCTGTGGCTCAGTTGGTAGTGCCTTCAGCTCAGGGTTCGATCGCAAGAAGCCTCTATCACGTGCTTTTGACATCCTGTGGAGAGGGAGCATCGACACGGGGGTCGTCCCACAGTTACTAAAAACAACAGACATAGCTCCACTCCACAAAGGGGGCGGTAAAGAAATAGCAAAGAACTACAGACCAATAGCACTAACATTCCATAACATAAAAATCTTTGAAAGGGTCCTAAGAAGCAAGATCGCCACCCATCTAGATACCCATCAGTTACACAACCCAGGATAACATGGGTTTAGAGCAGGTCGCTCCTGTCTGTCAAAACTACTTGATCACTACGACAAAGTCCTAGATGCACTAAAAGACAAAAATAATGCAGATGTAATATTCATAGACTTTGCAAAAGCCTTCGACAAGTGTGACCATGGCGTAATAGCGCACATAATGAGTGTTAAAGGAATAACAGGAAAAGTTGGTAGATGGATCTATAATTTCCTCACAAACAGAACGCAAAGAGTAGTAGTCAACAGAGTAAAGTCTGAGGCGGCTACTGTGAAAAGCTCTGTTCCACAAGGCACAGTACTCGCTCCCATCTTGTTTCTCATCCTCATTCACATTTGACAGACAAGGATGTCAGCCACAGCACCGTGTCTTCCTTTGCAGATGACACCCGAATCTGCATGACAGTGTCTTCCATTGCAGACACTGAATGGCTCCATGCGGACATCAACCAAATCTTTCAATGGGCTGCAGAAAACAATATGAAGTTCAACGATGAGAAATTTCAATTATTCCGATATGATAAACATGAGGAAATTAAAACATCAGAGTATAAAACAAATTCCAGCCACAAAATAGAGCGAAAAACTAACGTCAAAGACCTGGGAGTGATCATGTCGGAGGATCTTACATTCAAAGACCATAACATTGTATCAATCGCATCTGCTAGAAAAATAACAGGATGGATAATGAGAACCTTCAAAACTAGGGATGCAAAGCCCATGATGACACTCTTCAGGTCATTTGTTCTATCTAGGCTGGCATATTGCTGCACAATAACAGAACCTTTCAAGGCAGGTGAAATTGCTGACCTAGAAAATGTACAGAGAACCTTCACGGTACACACAACTACGATAAAACACCTCAATTACTGGGAACGCTTGAAGTTCCACAACCTGTACTCCCTAGAACGCAGGCGGGAGAGATACATGATTATATACACTTGGAAAAATCCTTGAGGGATTAGTACCAAACTTGTACACGAAAATCATTCCCTATGAAAGCAAAAGACTCGGCAAACGATGCAACATCCCCCCAATCAAAAGCAGGGGCGCCACTAGCACGATAAGAGACAACACATTAAGTGTCAGGGGCCACAAAACTGTTCAACTGTTCACACCCCACCGTCAGCTAACTACATGAAAACCGCCTATTCTCTTGTATCATACAAATATAAAAAAACAACCTAGACCTCCCCTTGATATCTGTGATTCCCCACAATTCGCACTTTCACTCAATTGACTATAAACATAGAAATACGTAGTACAACTATTACCTAATAAATATTAACTAGTCATAAGTTTGCCTGTGATACTCCTGTATAGAAACTATGTATTGTACCAAAACAAAACCATTCACAATGCTAAATTTACGAACTGTAATGCAGTTACTTAGAATTAATACCAATATGCTCCATAATCTGTACCACTGTTGATTTTGAATTAATCTTAGTCTGCCCGAAATGCCTAGTCATGCTAGGTGTGATAATGGCCCTCTCTGTAATTAGTATTTTATAATATGTAAATCACACAGTATCCTAAAATATGTTAACCCAACATTGTAATCTTTATAGAGAATAAACTATTTGATTTGAAATGCCTCCCAGCATACATAAGGGGGATTACCAATAGACCTCTGGCTGTCTTCAAGCAGGCACTGGAAAGGCACCTAAAATCAGTACCTGACCAGCCGGGCTGTGGTTCGTACGTCAGCTTGGGTGCGGCCAGCAGTAACAGCCTGGTTGATCAGGCTGATCCACCACGAGGCCTGGTCAGAGACCGGGCCGTGGGGGTGTTGACCCCCGGAACTCTCTCCAGGTATACTCCAGGAAGGTTAGCCACCCAGGATAACCCAAGAAAGTCAGTGCATCAAGGAGACTTATTTCCATTGTGGTCCTTATATCGTCCCCCTAGAATGCAACCAACACCCAGGTACCTACTTGCTTGCTAGGTGAACAGGGACTACAGGCGTAAAGAAACACGTCCAGGGTTTCACCCTTGCCGGGGATCAAACCACGGACACTCAGTGTGTGAAGCAAGAGCGTTATTATAATAATCATGGGGGAGAACTAAACCCGTAGGATTATACAGCGCATGTGGGGGGGAGGGTATTCAGGCTCAATTCAGGGAACCAGAGCACAGATCTAATTCCCTAGATCAAGAGCCCCTCACCAGCATCAAGGACCCTCCCTTGAGGGGGGAGAAACAGCGTTGCCTGCTAGGCCACGGGACACCATTGTAACCTATATTCCCACCTCATGGAATGGGAAAAAAGCACATCTGATACATATGGAACAGGGCAAAACGACGATGCTCAAATCCAGAATCCCCGCCCTCGCTGACCTCTCTACTGCCTGATCTGACCTCAGGTTACTTGCATGCTTATTACTGTGTACTCAATAACCCCCCCACACTACGGGTGAAACGTGGTATAATATTCCCACTCCCCTACTTAAAATATCTTTGAAAATTACCACTTGTCGACTAAAGCCTAGACCTCTGATACTCTTTATTTTATACATCCATTATTATTACGATCAAAATTAAGCGACAAAACCACAAGCGTCATACAAAGCTGCAACTATAGACCCATAAACCTGCACACACAACCAGTGTGTGGAGCCTAGCTGCAGAGCTAGTGTACAACATTGTAAATAAACCTTGTTGTTGTAGGTTCCGCCGGTCTTGTCTCGGCCCGGGTCTTTTCCAGAGATAAACCGACGAGCCGTTTATTAAAAATATATACATGTATACGTGTGCTAGCTGTTTTTAAAGTCCTATTATTGTACACGTGTTTTTTAAACTAGTGCAGAGCCTAGCAGGAACACCTCACAGAGGTGCAAAGCCTAGCAGGAATACCTCACAGAGGTGCAAAGCCTAGCAGGAACACCTCACAGAGGTGCAAAGCCTAGCAGGAACACCTCACAGAGGTGCAAAGCCTAGCAGGAACACCTCACAGAGGTACAAAGCCTAGTAGGAACATCTCACAGAGGCGCAGAGCCTAGCAGGGACAACTCACAGAGGTGCAGAGCATAGCAGGAACACCTCACAGAAGTGCAGAGCCTAACAGGAACACCTCACAGAGGTGCAGAGCCTAACAGGAACACCTCACAGAGGTGCAGAGCCTAACAGGAACACCTCACAGAGGTGCCCGAGCCTAACAGGAACACCTCACAGAGGTGCCATAGCCTATTCAGGAACACCTCACAGAGGTGCAGAGCCTAGCAGGAACACCTCACAGAGGTGCAGAGCCTAACAGGAACACCTCACAGAGGTGCAGAGCCTAGCAGGAACACCTCACAGAGGTGCAGAGCCTAGCAGGAACACCTCACAGAGGTGCAGAGCCTAGCAGGAACACCTCACAGAGGTGCAGAGCCTAGCAGGAACACCTCACAGAGGTGCAGAGCCTAGCATGAACACCTCACAGAGGTGCAGAGCCTAGCAGGAACACCTCACAGATGTGCAGAGCCTAGCAGGAGTACCTCACAGGTGTAGAGCCAAGCAGGTATACCTCAGAGGGGTAGAGCCTAGCAGGAGTACCTCACAGGTGTAGAGCCAAGCAGGACCACTGGAGTACTACATCAGTCAGCACACCAAAGTACACTGCCTGACTTTTGTTGTAACAGCTGATACAGTTGTTGCACGGGAGGTTGACAACTGAGATTTTAATCACATACTTTACCTTGGCCTTACGCTATTCTTATAACAGATATTATGTATACATACGTACATACATACATACATACATACATACATACATAAATATAATATAATATATATATATATATATATATATATATATATATATATATATATATATATATATATATATATATATAATATATAATATATATATATATATTATATATATATCATTATATTATTATTACTTCATCGTTTTCTATTAACACATCGGCCTTCCACCAAGGTAGGATAACTCGAAAAAGAAGAAACGCCTTCATCATCATCACTCCATCACTGTCTTGCCAGAAGCATGCCTACACCACAGCTAAAAAAACTGCAACATATCAGCACCCCTCCTTCACAGCGTAGACACGACTCATGTCCGGATAACCAATTTCTCTGAATCCCTTCATAAATATTAAGATATGAGATAAGATATTATTTGGATTTTTAACTCCCAGAGAGTTAGCCCGGTACCAAGAAAGGTAATGACTCAAGAAAGGCAATGCGTTATCGAGGGACTGTCTGTCTTATTTCCATTGGGGTCCTCAATATTGTCTCCCCAGGATGCGACCCACACCAGTCGACTAACACCCAGATAACTACTTGCTTTCTAGATGAATGGGACAACAGGTGTAGTGAAACACACCCATTGCTTCCACCCTTGCCAGGAATCGAACCATGGACACTCGGCATGTGAAGCGAAAGCTTTGCCTAATAGACCACAGGCCATGTTATTTTGTTCACACTCCAACAGCACGTCAAGTCATAAAAACCATTTGTCGCCACTCGCTCCTATCTAACATCCTCACGTATGTATGTTGGAAGTCCAAGCCCTTTGCACACAAAACCTCCATTACCTTCTCCCTCCAACCTTTCCTAGGATGATCCCTACCCCGCCTTCCTTCTACTACAGATTTATATGCCCTCCAAGTCATTCTGTTTTGTTCCATCCTCTTTAAATGTCCAAATCACCTTAACAACCCTTCCTCTGCCATCTGGATAATACTTTTAGAAATCCCGCACATCCTTCTAACCTCCAAGATACGGATTCTCTGCTTTATATTCACACTGCACATTGTCCTCAGACATGACACCTCCATTGCCTCCAGCCTTTTCCTTGTTGCAACATTCACCACCCATGCTGCACACCCTTATAAAAGTATTGCTACTACTTGTCATTGTGGTGGTATACAAGCCTCCGGATGCAATTTCCCAACAATTCCAGGAACAGCTTTTGAAAATTGACGACTGTCTGGAAAATCTTCCAGTTCCTGCCCCAAACATTTGGGGGGGAAAAAATTTAATTTTTTAGCAAAACAGGAAGCAAAAAAAATTTTAACAAACCCCGGGGAACCCCGGAAAATCACACAATTGAAATGATCCCCATTACTACAAGAATAACAAAATAAAACCCGTAAAAGACAAACAAGTACAAATTGAACCCCAAAATGTATTGGGGGATCCACCCACAAAATGAAATTTTTAAGGGGGTGATTCAATTCAACTTCAAATGAAAAACAAATTTAACAACATGCCCCAATTTGAAAAAAGGGAAAATATTAAAAAAGGAAACCCTGTGGTTTGGGTGGCTTAAGCAAAGGGAATTTTTTTCCCCGCCTGAAGGGGGGAAGGCAAAAATACGATACGGGGGGGCCAATTCGAAATAAAAAAGGGAGCCCTAAAAATAAAAAGGAACAAAAATTAAGGAAAACAAGAAAAAGAAACTGGAAAAAAAAAAACCTTAAACAAAAAAAAAAACCCTTTTTTCCCCTCTGGGAAAAAACCCACTCCAAATTGAGGGCAGATAAATTTAAAATCAGAAAGGAAAACCAGAAATTTTATAAAAATAAGGGGGTAAAAAGGTTTAAAAACCCCATTAGGGGGGGAGGAAATAATCCAAAAAGGGGGAACCGGCAAGATCCTTTTAGATCAAAGCCCTCCCCGGGTAAGAACCCCCTTAGGGACAGTAAAAATCCCAAATACCTTTTAGGGCTTAAAACGGGGGTAAAAACCCATCCTAAACCCCCTTTAAAGGGAAAACGTTTACCACCACTTTACCCACATGGAAACCCAGCAAAGGTTTTTTGACAGATCCTCCGTAATAATAAAATAAACCCCCTTTCACGGGGCTTATCAATTTTATAGATTACAATCCCCATTTGGGGGGGAGCAAAAATTTTAAGGACAAATTTTCCAGGGGGGGACCCCAAAATTTTATATAAAACAATTACAAGAATGAATACAATTTAAAAGTAAAACCCAACAATTACAAAGGTTTAACCCCGGTATTTAGTCAAACCCAAAAGTTAAAGGTTTACAGATTAAAGGGGTCGTTGGTCCCGGGCCCCAAAGTTTTGACTGAACAAGTAAAAAAGATTTTTTTGGGTTTTCCCCCGGGGGGGAAAAATGCCCGTGTAAGGAATAAAAAGAAGCAGATCAGGCTCAACTGACAAATTATAGTGTAAGAAAATTAACCCACACCCTTTTCACCGTAATGAAGATTTAAATTTGGGATTTTTTGAGTCCACAACACACACACACACACAACACACACACCCCCACACACAACCCACACACACACCACAACACACCACACACACACACACACACCATAAACAACACACAACACACACACACATACACAAACTCATACACACACACGCACACAACACCATACACACACACACACACACACCCCCCATACCACACCACCACACTCAACACATACACACGCACACCAAACCACACACAAACCACCGGACCGACAACATCTCCCCATGGCCCTTTAGAGAAGGACAAGATGCTGTGTGGCCCCAACCACAATCTTTAACACTCCCTTTAAACTGGGCAACTACCTGAGAAATGGAAACAGCTAATGTAGTCCCCATATTTAAAAAAGAAACAAAACGAGCACTAAACTACAACCTGTTCTCTGACTGTATTGTTTGGGAAAATCATGGAGAAAATTTTCAGGGGGAAGGGGTCGAAAACCGGAAAAACAAGATTAAATGAAAAACCCGCATGGGTTCATGGAAAAAAATCTGTATCACAAACCCCCTGGATTTTATGACAAGGAAAAAAAGTAAGACACGAGAGAGAGGGGTTTGGGTAATTGCGTTTTCCCAGCTGCAGGAGGGCCCTTTACACATTCCCCCCAAGAATTATGCAGAACTGGAGGGTCAGGGACACATAAAAGGAAAGGGGACTGCAATGGATTAGGGAAACCTACAGGGAGGGAGCAAAGAGTCATGGACTAAGAGGATCACAGTGGGCCCTGTTACGACGGGTCCCCCAGGGGTCATTTTTTAGAACATAAAACAAAGAAAAGAGAACACTGCAGAGGCCGCTGCCCATACTACACCTTTTCAATTCATCCCACTAACAAAAATTTTCCCAACCCAATTTTTAATGCCACCCAAGAAATAACTCTGATGTGAAAGTCCCACTCAAAACCAAACCCCCCCCACTCAGTACTTATCCAACCTAGATTTTTAAACTACCCAAAGTCCCCCCGCCCAAAACCCAAATAGGGAGACTTCCCTCATCAACACCCTATTTCCAAACCCAAAACTTCCTATGTCCCCTTTTTAAATCAAAAATTTCTAAAAAAATCCATTTCGCGGGGTTTTCCTTGGAGAACATCCTCAAGACCTTTTTAATTCCCCTTTTTAATACCTTTTCACTTTTACACTTCGATCAGTCTCCCCCCCATCTTCCCTAACAATGAATTTAAAAATTTAAAATCTTTAATCTTTCTTCAAAGGGAAAATTTTTAAAACAAAAACAAAAAAAGAGGAACACGACAGGCCTGTTGGGCCCCAAATAGCAGGGCCTTTACAATTCTCCCCCTAACAAAATTTACCAACCCAATTTCAATGCATCCGAAATAAGCTCTGAATGCAAGTCCCACTCAAACCAACCCCCCCACCATGTCTTATCCACCCAAATTTGAAACTACCCAAAGCCTAGCCTCAATAACCCAAATAACGTTTTCCCCTCATCAACACCCCCTTTTTCCCAAAACCAAAACTTTCCTATTCCTTTCTAAAACTAAACTTTCAATTTAAATCCATTACGCGGTTCTCTCTTGGGGAATATCCTCAAACCTTTTTAATATCCCCTTTATTTAAAACCATCTTCCACTTATACACTTCGACAGGCCCCCCTCTTCTTCCAACATGAATGTAACTAAAGTCTTTAATCTTTCTTCAAAGGAAATTTCTAATGCATTATTAATTTAGTCACCTACGCGAAGTTTTTTAACGAATTTATGTCCATTTTTGTAATATGGGGGCCAAATTGAGCGCATAACCCAGGGGACCTTACTAAATTAAACTGCAGTAGACTCTGGACTTCTGTTTCTTAAAATTCTTTAATAAATCCCATAATCTATTTTCCTTTTTCTACGCTTAGGGATTGCTTCTTGTTTAAGGTTGCTGCTTTCCATAACCCCCAATCCTTTTCGCAAACTGTGGCTAATTCTACCATTTAACTTATAAGTACAGGTTATGGGGACCCCAAGCTTCAGAACCTTTCATTTATCTATATTAACTGCATCCCATTTTTTTGACCCAAAAAAGGTTTGTTTAAAAACCTCCGAAATTTTCCCTAACTTTAGTTTGGATCAATTATCCTACCCACTTTGTGTCATCGGGGAATTTTCTCAACACTATATTTCCCCCATCAAACATTGTATATATTTAAACAACAAGGGCCCCAAAATGATCCTTGGGGAAAGCCACTTGTTTACAGACCCCACCATTTTTCCCCATTTAGGGCACTCTTGCTTCCTTCATGAGCCATGACCGATCCACAACACTTTTCCCCCCAAAGCCATGAGCTCACTTTCTTAACATCCCATGGGGCGAACTCTTCAAAAAACCTTTCAAAATCTAAGTAAAAAATATCAAATTCTTTATGTGGGGAACACCCAAAAGCTTTTAC